CAATAATATAAATAAAAGATAAGAGCAATAATATAAAGTTACATAGTGTTTCCAGTAAAACAAGTATTTAAACAAAGCAGACTTCAATTCTCAGTTAAGTGGTGATATGTCTGTCAGCTTTAAGAAGGTATCTCTACAGGATGTAGTCCATCTGGGGATTAAAGCAGAGACATTAGCACCATTGAATGTGTCTTGTCCTGCCTCCCATCCTGGGTGATGGCTTTCCTTTGATGGGTTAGACTGGTGGGGAAGGGGAATAACCATGTACTGTGTTTGTACCATTCCCAGAGTCTGAATTTAGATTGGGTTCTTAACAGGATATCATAGCCTGCCTCAAAAATTTTTATCCTACACTTACTCTGACTATAAAAAATAATTTTCCTGCGGGATGACAGAGTGAAATCCTGCTGCAGGCGTCCCCAAGTCAGCTGCTGCTGAAACTGACCAGCGCTGACTGCAGGAATCGCGGCTTCATTTCCCTCTGGCTAATCTACATGCCTCTGCTGACAGAGGCATGTAGTCTAGACACAGCCTTATAGTGTAAGGAAGATTACTGTCTGTTCTGAGGGGTACTGCTGCTAGCATTTTGTAGTTAATTCCCTTTGACAGACTTGCCCCCACTGCTGTCACAACCCTCAGTGAGTATTTTTCCATTTACCAGAATGTTAGTCAGGGGTGCCACTGTAAAGGAGCCATCTCCTGAAGTTTTTGGAGTCACCTTGACTGACTTTTTTTCCAGAGGTTAGGTGAGGAGTGGCTGAAGAGGGACAAATGGCTCAAAGATTAATCTCCTTCCCCACCCAAATGAAACTGGTTATGGGAACAGGAACCCCCATCTACACGGGAAATTGAGGTTTGAGTGAGTATAGCTTGGAGGGTTAAACTGTGGCTGTTGTGACTGATATCCTGACCAGATTATTTCAAATTTGCCATCATACAGAGGTCTGGGAAAGCTAACTCCAGGACAGTTTCCTTTTCCCAGTACACCTGCATATGGAGGATTATATATGGCAGATCAAGAGCATCCTGGAGACAACTGATCTGTCCAGAAATAGAGAGTAGAGCCATGAAATTTATGAGGCTGTGTTTTTAATGTTGGTGTTTACTTATATAGAGGTCAGTGAGATTCATATCCTAGACATGTGTATAAAACAAATGGCACACTGAACGCTTTGTTGAAAGAGAAAATGAAAATGGAAGGTGTAATTTCCTAACTGGGGTGCTGTTCACTGTAGTTCCAAGCTGGATAATCAGCAGTTCCAGGCTGGTAAGTATGAGAATAGGTGGAGGCAGGAAAAGCTGGCCCCAGAAAAAAAGAATTGGTGGTATGATTAGGGTTCCCAATCCTCCAAGGTTGTCCAGGAGTCCCCAGGAATTAAAGATAAATATTCAATTAAATATTGTGTCATGAGATGAAACCTCCAGGAATACATCCAACCAAAATTTGCAGCTCTAGGTGAGATGCGGGATGTAGTGAAAATTTGTGTTCATGTTTTATTGGGTAAACTCTTGGATGGAAAAACCCACCTGAAGGGAATTCAGGGCAAATCAACATTGGGAAGAGTTCTGAACAGGATGAAGAAAATTGTCCAGAGAAATGTAGGAGCCACTATCCTTAACTATGCATGTCTACAAGGCATCTTCCTTTGCAGATCTCAATGCAGGATCAGAGTATAAAGCCTTAGTTAACTGAAGAAAGTGCACAAAGAAAAACAATATGCACTTCTGTGAATGAGAGGTGTTACTCATGGATTCACATAGGATCTTGAGCAATCTGTAATATTAAAACTTCTTTTCACTTTTCTTCTTGAGTTTGGGTTACTGTAGAGACCTACATCAGAGCGAAAAATGAAGTGTAAAACTGCTGTCAAATGTTCTGTAAATCCAAAGCATATCTTTAAAGTAAAATGCATTAATAACACATAGTAAGTACTGTTTTTTTCTCCAACGAGCTTTAAGGACAAACTAAAACAATAGTTAAGATCGTGGAAATATTTTTCTGCATGGAATGCTGCTCTTATTGCAGACTTAACCCTGTTCATATACACTGTGCTGGCAATGGGATTAAACGATTGTTGCAATTTATCATGTTGACATCTGTTTAGCATTGTAATTTTATACTGAACGTTTTTAAATGTCATATTCTGCCTTTCAGTGAAGTCAGTGCACACAATTTTGATGTTATTCAGTATGACTTGACTCCACTGAATCAACTAAGTCACTCTAGATTCTCACCAGTGGAACTAAGATCAGAATTTGGCCCAGTGTGAGTCCTTCTCATGAAATAACTTAATACAATGAAATCTAAAGGTAGAATATGCCTTTTCACTGAGAATTTATGGTTTTACTGTAATAATTGAATTTCTTCCAAGAAATCCAATAAGAATCCTTTAAATTTTGTTGTAACTTGAGCAAGTACTTGCTAGCATTGTTGAAGATGGAGTCATATAGCTTGAAGAGTATTAAAGGTGTTTGTTTTCTTATACATATGTCTTCTTCTTCATTCTGTAAATTCACCATACACAATTCAGTACACTTACTTGGGGATTCTTGCTCCATAGGAAGCTGACACTGATGAGAATCAGGGAACGCTAACATTTGAAGAATTCTCTGTGTTTTACAAGATGATGTCATTACGACGTGATCTCTACTTGTTGCTTTTGAGCTACAGTGATAAGAAAGATCATCTCACTGTAGAAGAATTTGCTCAGTTTCTGAAGGTGGAACAAAAGGTACGAGAATAATAAATGTAGCTAATGTTCTTGTTTTAACACCAAACAAAAGTTTGTGACCAACGTTAGCTCATACTTTGTCCAGGCTGTAAACACTAGTGAACAATCAAAATTGAAGGATATGTAATGGAGATGTTGATGCAAAATGAATCTGAGTAAATACTGGAGTACAAGCAAATGTTTTTGGAAAACAGGAAGTTTTTGATCATTTGGGGGGAAAAGTAGCATATTAATTAAATATCCACACTGGCCTGTACTGACTTCCAGATAACAAGTTTACATTTAAAGTTTGTAATCCAATAAGCAGTGTATTGTAGTGCTGTAATGGTGTATCTTACAACTTTTTTTTGTCTTTAAGAAGTTTATTGTTTATATTGAAAGGAGGCTGCAATATGAGTAAGGATGGTAGAATCTGGCCTTTAATAAATAAAAAGGTTTGAAAATTGTGTTAGAAAGTGCACTAAGACAATGCAGATTATATTTTAAAAGTAGAAACAATTATTTGTTTTTTAACAAAATAACATAGGATGAAGAAAAAGCTATATGCTGACTTTCTACATCTGATTTGTCTGTCTAGTTTAAGTTCAGTAATTTGTGTTAAAAATGAGTTTCTGGTGCAACATATTTTTGCTTAATCTTAATAAAGTCTATACATTTTCTTAATTTTATTCTCACTTAAACTAGCATCTTCTAGGTCACTTTAAATACATATATAACAGGTACCATACTTTTAAAAAGCAGGACACAGGTATTGACAAATCAATAAAAATTACAGTGATTGTTATCTACTTATACAGGAGATTAATAAAGTGGATTCACTTCAAGCTATGACTCCTGAAAAGTGATGGATATTTTCTTTATTGCAGTTTTAACATAGTCTTTTGTTCATTCCTAAAATGAAGTGCACAGTCAACCCGTGGAACTCCTTGCCAGAGGATGTTGTGAAGACAAGAACTTTAATGGGTATCAAAAAAGAGCTAGATAGATTCATGGAGGTTAGGTTAATCAATACTTATTAACCAGGATGGGTAGGAATGGTGTCCCTAGCCTCTGTTTGCAAGAGGCTGGAAATGGATGACAGAAGAGAGATCACTTGAAGGTTCCCTGTTCTGTTCATTCCCTCTGAGGCACCTGGTATTAGCCACTCTTGGAAGACAGGATACTGGGCTAGAGAGGCACCTGGTATTAGCCACTCTTAGAAGACAGGATACTGGGCTAGACAGACCTTTGGTCTGATCCAATACGGCCATTTTTATGTTCCTGGCTTTCCTTTTTATATAAACGTCAGGGTGTGTCTAGACTACACCTCTCTGTCGACAGAGAGATGTAGATTAGGCACATCGAAATTGCTAATGAAGCAGGGATTTAAATATCCCGCATCTCATTAGCATAAACATGGCCTCCGCTTCTTTTTGAAACGGAGTTTTTTCTAAAAAAATGGCAGTCTAGACGCGGATCTGTCGAGGAGTTTTTACTAAAAAAATGGCAGTCTAGACGCGGATCTGTCGAAAATAAAGCCTTTTTCGACAGATCCTGTAAACCTAATTTTTTGAGGAATAAACCATGTTTATGCTAATGAGGCATGGGACATTTAAATCCCTGCTTCATTAGCAATTTCGATGTGCTTGATTTACATCCCTCTGTCGACAAAGAGATGCCGTCTAGACTTAGCTTCAGTTAGTAATCAGCAGTTTTCTTCTTTTAACCAGATAAGTTTTCTTTTTCTTTACTACTCATATATTTTTGTTTAAAAATATTAGAAATGAGCTATAAAACATGGACAGCTCTCTATATTGTGAGCTCTTCAGGTCTGAGACTATAACAGAAGTTTTTGAATGAAAGCACCAAAATCCACATTCAGGCAATTCTTTAAAAGATGGTATGATTGCCAGAGTTGATGAGTACCAGCAACTCAGAGTGAAGACCATAAGAGCGGTGGGTGCTGAACACTTCTGGAAAACATACTATTTTTATTTAAATGTGTAAATATGGATAGTTTGTGATCTCTTTGTGTCAAGGGCTGTCTTTTAGTTCTTTGTACTTGATCCTTTGCACAAGATATTCAGTGAAATCTAACAAACTGCAAGCTTGGTCAGAGGTTGTGCATTAAAAGAGAGTGCACTTTTAAGTAGGGATGTTAGCAAGTAGTCCCCAATAAACATAAGCGTATCGGATAGTTGACTGGAATATTGACTGCTCACCTCCCCCACCATCCACTGCCTCTATGAGAGGCAGCAAGGGGGAGCGGGGAGAAACGGGAGCTGGTGCTGGGAGGAGCAGGCTTAAAAACCGGGTTCCCCCCAGCACCATCTCTGCGGTGCTGCCCTGCCCTCCATACCCTGTTGCCTCTATTAGAGGCAGTAGGGGGAGATAGGGATGGCTGCTGCGAAGCAGCCCCTGTCCACGGGGGTCCACCACAAACAGGGGCTGCTGGACTCAGTGCAAGCTGGGACTGAGTAGTCCCTGCTTGCGCTGGTCTGGGACACTGCGCCTCTGCATTTTAAACGTAGTAAGAGCCTGGCAGCTCTTACTACATTTAAAATGCAGAGCCGGCTCCTGGAGCTATCTTCTCTGTGGCTCCGCAGAGTGTTCTTATCAACAAGGCTCGACTAACCGCGGAAAAATCCACTCGCCAGCCCCGCACTGCGCATACGCCAGATCTGCACTGTGCATGCGCGCCACCGGTGAACAGGGCAACTGGCTGAAATCTACTCGCAAGTAGATAAATGGATTTGTTGAGCCCTGCTTATCAATTAATTGTATAGTCAATACAAATTATATCGACTACATGATTAGCCAGATAACCGCAATTTAACATTGTTACTTTGAAGCCGGGTTTAGGACTATATCATGAGGAGACGACAAGACAAAGCTTTGAAGAGGGGAAGGAAGAGGAGTCCATCAGGGGAAGGTTAATTGTTGCAGCAACAATTCTGAGTAGCAAAATAGACTTAAAAAAACCCTCAACCACCTCCACCTGCGATAAGCATAAGTGTTCTCTTTTTACGTGAAATGTCATAGTGATTATTTGCGTTCCTTAATTACAATTAAGCAGCACAAACAATAATCACAAAATGACTAGATTAGACATTTTCATTCTAACTACACATGCAAACGTTGCTACACAGACGTCCAGGAAAGATATAGCCTTTGTGTGATTTGATCTACTGTTTTGATTCTGCATTCTGAAAATTATTTCTTGAGAGCAGTCAAAGTCTACCTCATCACTAATTTGAAACAAACCCACGAGCTGGTGTCCTGGTAGTAGGATGGACACTATTGGTGTTGCATTCTTTTTCACAACTTCTTCGCTCCTCTACTGTCCTTTCTGTTATCATATCTTGTTCCCTCTTCCCAATGTGAAGAATATTGATGAGTGATGGAAATTTTACATGAGATGGAGCTTTCCCTGATCTCCATGTGCTCCTTTTTGGTCATCCTACATATCACCACTCTATTGCTTCATTGCTAACATCTGACTGTTGGGTGGTGGAATTTTCTAACGTCCTTCCCAGAGGGGATGTTGACATCCTCCTTCACGCTCTCTTCTGCTCCTTCTCTGCAAGCCAGGGTAATGTCACATCTTGACTTTAGTTTTGTGACATTTTATTTTAGACCAACAGATGACTCGTTCATGTTCTCAAAAAACAGCATCTTGCAGAACATTAGAGCAGTGGTTCTTAACCGGGGGAATTATCCCTCAAAGAGTAATTTGGCATATTTCAGGGGGTAATAAGTTTAAAATACAATAGGTGTTCAATTTTGTTCAATATAATGTTCAATATAATCTGAAAAGAAAATACAATAAAAATGATTAATCATAATTTTCTTTTTGTCTATTGCAATTTAAAAAAGGAGAAGGGGGTAATTTTGGTTTATTGGTCAAACTTAAGGGGTAACAGTGCTAAAGAGGTTAAGTACCACTGGTGTAGAGGGTTTCTTTTTGAAAGAAAATGTCTGCATCAAATTCAGTGTTTCATCAGTCATGAATAAATTCCTACATTCAAAAGATTTAAGTTCCAATATTAATTAGCCATATTCACTAATTAAGGCTTATATTCAAACATTATAATTCATGTAAGAGGCATTTTACAAATTAATGAGAGTAAATTTTAATTAGAATTGAGAGTCAATGTCATCTCTCTCAAGTTAAAGTTAAAAGAGCACAAGTGAAGGGACTCCTGTCTCTTAACAGCTGTAGCCTTTGACTAGATTAGACATTTCATTCCAACTACACATGCAAACACTGCCACACAGACATCAAGGAGCCTGTGGAGATGATGAAAAAGGTAATTCTCAACAGTCTGTGATGAAGAAGGCTCTGCTAGGAATAGCCTTTACAAAGAGCAGCCTATACTTGAGCTTGGATAATCAGTTATTTTCTCCAGTGAAGGGTTCTCATTTCTATTATCCTGTGTAATTCTGGTAGGTTTCTCATGATGCAGGTTTAGCTTTGAGTTATAAATACAATTTTCTAAGAAACAAACTGAGTCATTCTCTGTGCTCTCTATAATATTTGGAGGGAGAGAGATATGAGCTGATTAACATTTCTGTCCTATGATTACAGTGTATAATTAGTTCAGTATACTGTCCGTGTTTGGTATTTATACTAAGGTTTGGTTGAAAGCTTTAGTCCATAAGAACCTGTATGTCATCCACTAATTTCATGTTTCTTTCCATGAGCTGAGAGCAGAAGTTCTCACCTTATGGGTTACAGCCTCCAAGATGTGCACCAGTTGTCTTTGCAGGTTACTCCATCTCCCATCTTTGTCTTCCACAAAAAAGGAATTGCTCAGTCATTTGCATCTGGTGTCTTTCATATATGAAGAGCACCACAAACAAATGTACCCAGTGCTCACCCTGCCTCTTCTAAATCACTGAGAAACCTGAGCAATCTTTAGGAACGCTGATCAAAGGATTCTATGTTGCAGCTGAGAAGGGCCAGTTGAGGGTTCTGGCTGAAGGGAGCAAGATGGTCATATCATGACAAAGTTATTAAT